CACCCGCCAGCTTTACCATTGATTGACGTCCACGGCCAATCAGTCGCATTCCGAATACTGCTCGTCTGTTCACCTCCCAGACCCGATTGAACTTCTTGGACATAAATTCGCTTGCTATGTCGCCGCAGTTAACACAGGAAAGCTCCAGGCATGATGCAAGGCCTCCCCGTTGCGATTCGCTGATCGTGACTGCGCCATTACAGCCACTGCAACAAACTGCAGCTGACAAAAGCTGCTGAAGGCACTCGAGATCAATCAGGCGAAATCCATGCGCCCCTTCCTCACACTCTTCATCCAAGTCACTGTCGGAGGAACTGCTGTCGACTTCACCGCCACTTCCATCACTATCGCTGTTTGAAGACGTGGCTTCAGCTGACACTTCAAGGTCGTCATCAGACAGTGGCAAGTCAGGAATTTGTTTTGCAGGCGAAATTTCACCAGAGGGAGCCTTCGGCGCCTGAGACACTCCATAGAACGTTCTTTTCCTTTTCTTAGATCGTCCGGGCTTTCCCTTGGCTCTAGACTTCCCCATAGTAGCCAACGAAGGGGTTAGCTCCAAGAAACAATTACTCCAAAACAATTACTCCAAAAGTAACTAGTTTCAACAGCAGAGCGATCAGCTGAGATCATGAGAGTCGAAATTTGAATTTTTTTGAATTTGCGCATGCGCAAAAGTTATCTTGGTTGCCATGGTGACAAACATCGTGCGCGGCTGTCAGTCTGCAGCGCAGAGGAGTACCAGGAGTCGCTCCAGAAAATTTTAATGAAATCGCTCAAAGATTGACGGTAAAAATCGGAATAGTGTGCAAACCTAAATTTTGTAGAAATTTGCTGATATTTCAGTATTTCAAAAACAATTGTGCAGACTTTGCGCGGCTATATCTCCGGAAGGAAGCACCCGATTACGCTCAAATTTTCAGGATAAACCCTTTGGACCATACACAAGACGCTGCCAGTGAAAAAATACAGAAAATCGAAACTTTGTTTTTTGACCCTCTGAACCCAGACTGCCACCTTAAAGGGGAAGTTAAGGGCAAAAATTAAAATTTCACCAGTTGTAGTCTTCGGGGTGCTGAGTCGAATGGTCTTGGTCCGAGGAAGCTGAGACGCTCCCTTCCTACTTGAATCCCAATCGAACTCGCGCACTTCCACCGAAACTGGGTGACTGCGCCCTACTAGATGGGGATTTGTATGCAAAATGTCACTAAAAGCGCCATTTCGTTCTTATAAAAGCACGGATGACCGCGATTGGCCCATATGTTGTAGTCTTTGGGACGCTGAGTCGACTGGTTTTGGTCCGAAAAGGCTGCGATGCAGAGTTCCTCCTTTATTCCCAATCGAACATGGTTGAAGAAGCGGTCACGTGGTCCTGGGTGCCCAAATCACCTGGTCACCACGCCAGCAGGTGACAACTTTCACACCAAGGTTCAACTCGAGTGACAGGACTGCACCCAAAAAAGGTCAAACAGGCTAGTAAGTTGTACCCTGCAGGCACGGTGACCAGGTGACTGGTGTACGCAGGAGCACGTGACCGCTTGTTCAACCATGTTCGATTGGGAATAAAGGAGGAACGCTGCATCGCAGCCTTTTCGGACCAAAACCAGTCGACTCAGCGTCCAAAAGACTACAACACATGGGCCAATCGCGGTCATCCGTGCTTTTATAAGAACGAAATGGCGCTTTTAGTGACATTTTGCATACAAATCCCCATCTAGTAGGGCGCAGTCACCCAATTTCGGTGGAAGTGCGCGAGTTCGATTGGGATTCAAGTAGGAAGGGAGCGTCTCAGCTTCCTCGGACCACGAGTCACGACCATTCGACTCAGCACCCCGAAGACTACAACTGGTGAAATTTTAATTTTTGCCTTAAGGTGGCACTATGCCTTCAGAAGGTCAAAAATGAAAATCTCTCAGAAAGCGTCGAAAACTATCTCAAACGATAGCTCTTGTGCTGAAGCACGACTCCTGAAGATTTGAGGGGATTCGCTCAAAGGAGTTCAGAGATAGAGCATTTCAAAGATCGAGATAGATCTGCAAATTTCACAATTTTGATTTTGCAATTGGTTCTTTTCGTTTTAGAACGCAATCAATCGTGTTATGATAAAAACCTTCCTTGATATAGTTCAAATTTTGTGGAAATCTCAGGAGCAGTGCGCGGAGTGATTTGGCGACCTCTGCGCATGGGTTTGGTTACCATGACAGCCGTCAGAGTGATTGCGCATGCGCAAATTCAAATTTGATTCAAATAAATTATTTGATGGAAACGTCTTTGTTGTTTCGTTCTGTACTAGCTGTGACAATTGTACAAGCTTGCAGGCGTTGTTTTTCTATTGCGATGGGGAAGAAGCGAGCTCAAGGCCGACCAGGCAGACCCAGAAAGAGAAAATTTCATGGAATTCAACCGGCGCTGAGAGCCGAATCGGAAGATGAAGCTGCAGCATGTGCGCCAGAAAATCTTGACGATTCTGAATCTCTGCCAAATTTCAACGATTATTTGCCTTCTAGTTCTGATGATGCTGAGATTTCTTCCGAGGATGACCTGAGCACAAGCGATTCGAGTTCGGGATCCAGTTCAGACTCGGACGATGACAATGATGCAGAACTACCTCATGGATTCAGGCTCGTCGACTTGGTGTGCCTTCAAACTCTTTTGTTGGCTTCTGTGTGTTGCAAAATTTGTCATGCACCAGTCACTCTGAGTGAGCCGAAGAGGCAAGGGTTTGCATCCTGCCTGGAGCTGACCTGTCAAACCTGTGAAGCTCACACATCGCAGTATATGTCAGACAAACATAAGCGTGTTAGGGATGTAAACCGACGAGCTGTGTTTGGCATGCGCTGGATCGGTCGCGGGCACGGAGCAATGCTGAAGTTGGGAGCTGCTTTGAATATGCCTGTGCCCATGACCTTCTCGGCATACCAAGGACATGCCAAGGCTCTACACAAATCGGCCAAGGTTGTTGCTGAGCATAGCATGAGTGCGGCAGCGACACAAGTCTTGGACAATGCACCTGGAGATGTCGTTATTGCCGATACTGCCGTTACGTATGACGGAACCTGGATGCGCAGAGGCTATGCATCGCTGTATGGTGTTTTTGTGGCCATGGCATTGGGCACAGGCAAAGTCCTTGACGTTGAAGTTCTATCCCGATTCTGCCACCAGTGCGCCCACTTCAAGAACCAGCATGCAAAGAAAGAGTTGACAAATGCTGAACTGCAGGACAAGCTGGACAACCATGAATGCCGTGCCAACACCCAGAGCTCAGCACCCGCAATGGAATGTGAAGCTGCCCTGAAGATATGGAGGAGATCCAGAGAAACGAGGAAGCTTCGGCACAGTGTCTTTATAGGGGACGGAGATACAAAGAGTTTCAAGGCAGTGCATGACTCATATCCATACGGCGAAGACGTGGAGATCACAAAAGAAGAATGCGTGGGCCATGTTCAAAAACGCGTTGGACATCGGTTGCGGAAGCTGAAGAAGGTCCTCTCTGGGAAGAAGTTGGCTGATGGTGGCAGGATCAGTGGTCGTGGTCGTCTCACAGACCAACTTATAGACAAACTACAAGCCTACTATGGTATGGCTGTGCGCAGCAACAAGGGCGACCTACAGTCCATGGCCAAAGTCATATGGGCTTCCGTGATGCACCGAGTGTCAACTGATGAGAAGCCCCAACATCTGCACTGCCCACCGGGACTGGAGAGCTGGTGCAAGTGGCAGCAACAGCAAGCTGGTGGACCGTCTTACGAGCACCACAACGTCATACCTGAAGCAATCTTCTCTGTAATCAAGCCGATCTTCATGGACCTGTCCGCACGCCCACTACTCGAGCGCTGTATGCGTGGCGCCACACAGAACCAGAACGAATGCTTCAACAGAATTATGTGGCAGCTCTGCCCCAAGACAAGCTTCTGCTCCGCTCTGACTGTAGAAACTGCAGTCTACATTGCAGCAAGCTGGTTCAACGATGGTGCTGCAAGCATTGAGATGCTATTCTGCAAGATGGGTCTACCCGTAGGCAAATACACCGCCTCCACCAGTGTGCTGTTGGATGCCAAGAGAAGGTCAGGTGCAGCCAGAAAGCAGTTGGGGCACATCAAGCTGTCCAGGAAAAAGCGCAGGAGGTTGAGGAAGGGTGGACAGGATGCAGCAGAAGAGATAGAAGGCACTCCCTATGTGGCAGGTGGTCACTAATACATCATCATGCTGTGGAATGCTGAGATTTAGAGTGCCTTTTTTCTCCTATTTTAGGGGTGTTCCGCAGCTTCTAACCACGATTGCAGGATGCCAGTGCATGCCACACCCCACAATGTATATATTCTGAACTCTGTGACATGTTTGGCTAGGTGCTAAACCAATTGTTCCATGCATTACTGCAAGTTTTATGATGTTTTTACCTCATTGAAGGAGGCGTTGTCAATGTGCGCGAATTTGTATATCTCTTGCTCTGGGTACTGTGTTTCTCCTTGTCAACAGATCAATCCTTTCTTTGGTTTAGCACCTCAAGTTGTATAGTAGCAATTGTGTTTTGCAACTTGTTCCTCTCTTCTCTACATGGTTTTCTTCATTTTGCGGTTAGAGCTCAGTATGCGTGATTTTTCGAAGAATTTCTAATTTGTACATAGGGTGACCAGTTTGGTTCATTGGCATGTGCTCAGAGTGCGGTGTGATATGTTAGAAGAAAGCACAGAAAATTTTGTGCAATTCCAATGAGGGAGACTGAAGTTACGTCCCGTTTGCCGATGCCGGTCCGCGAAGGCATAGTCCCACCTTAACTTCCCCTCACTCTTCGTCGTGGATTCGTCGGCAGGTATTTGACGACTCCCTGCCTACACCTCATCAGATCAGGCTCACGCGCTTTATTACCGTAGTTTACGCTCATGCGCTCAGTCCTTTTATTTTTGCTTCTTTAGACCTGTGATGTCATACTTTTTTTTGCTATGGTGCGAAATTTTGCCACGCACATGTTTTGCCTTTATTTTACTGTTTTGGCAAAAGGAACAAGAAACGCGGGATCCAGTTGAGAAGTTTGAATAAGACATGAGAATGGCAGCAATCACGTTGGAAAAGGATCTTCTTCGCAAGGTATCCCGGCTTGGACTTGATATCACCAAAACATCGAGAATTTCTGCATTCAGTAACGAGGGGATCGTTTCTGTCGTCAACTTCCTTCTGGGTCGGTACGACCCTTCCTGGTTCTGGGAGACCTGTAATTATTCGCTGGACGAGAACCGTCGCCAATGCATTCGGTACGGACATGCATGTCGTGATCTGATTTATGGTATTGAAAATGGTTATTTGTAGGGATGAAACGATCGTGGATTGTCAAATGTTGTGCAAAAATTGCTCTGTTTCCACAAGCTGTGTCTTCATAATACCGAAAAATTTGCATTAGTGAAAGTGCGGCTCCGAAACATGGTAGTTTTGAAGTCAATTGAACCTCAGAACATGAACCATACCCCTGGCAACTGCATACTTGCAGCGGAAGCTGATTCGAACTTCACAAAAACAGGGGTTTTCACTTTTCAGTACCTTTTGGACTCAAAATCCCTACTGAGTAATCTACATTTATAGCGTAACGCGTTAACGATTAGTTGATTGATTACCAAGTACAGGTCTGCTCTCGATATAACAACTCTCACTTGTACATAAACCTCGCTAGTGCATACAAAAATCAAATCCCGCGCCGAAACAGCATCACTCCCATACAAATTTCGTTCTACACAACGTAATCCTACATAACATAAACCTCGACATAACACACGCTGCGGCGCGGTCCCAGACGTGCGCACTCTCGATACACCGACTTAGATTCACGAGCGGTACAATCAAGCTGTAGCCGTAGCTAGCCAGTTCAGTTCTATTGTGCATATATTCTGCGACATTGATGGTATCTGATGTTGATGGTGGTACGAGTGTGTATGTGTTTGCACGGTTGAACCCGCCTTGTAATACCCTTCATTTTGAGGTACATTTTGTATTTTATACACGGTTTTCTACATAACGTAACTGGTCAGTTGTCTGAGGATTGCCTTAGCTTTGCTATGTGCATGAAACGCAGCGTTACAACAATGACCTAGCCGGCTGTCTCTATTCTCTTCTGCCTTTTGTGGTAATGCTCCATCGTTGTGGTGTTGAGCACTCTAGGCAATCTGGGAACTCTCGCTATTGTAACTCTCGATATAACATAATTTGTGCGTGGTCCCAGAGATTACGTTATATGGATAGTAGACGTGTAATTGGTATAATCGTTTCGCCCTAGAACTTATTTGACACAGTCTTTTCTTCAAATCTCTATTGCTTCCTTCTTACCAACCAGTTTCCTGCGCCTTTTGGACATTGCTCACCTGGTGAACGGCCCCTCAGAACTCACACCACGCAACAAACGGATCCTGCGTTTGCTGTGTGCCCTCTTTGAGAAGCTGGAAAGGAAGCATGGTAGCGCTCTGTATCAGAAGCCGAGACAAGTTCTCAAACCACGGCCACGCCGGAGCACGGAAAAATCGCAGGACAACGCTGGGGACAAGACACAGCGGGCTACACAGACAGGAAAGGAGAATGATGTCGATGGCGGCGGATCTAGCTTACGGGTGAGTTAGTGACATCAGTTCTCTGCAGGATACGTGGTCGATAGTATATACCGGTATGATTTATATTCCAGGGTGAAATGTACTACTCTAAAAGTGGCCTAAGGCCAGATCGGAAAAAAGTATTTGCTGCCTGGGAGTCGTCGCCAAAGAATTACGACCGGTGAGTCGAAGGTAGCGCCGTGTTTCGATTTCAAATACAACATACACGTTCCGAAAACCCATCCTAGGGCATGAGCCCTGGCGCTGCTTTCGGCACGTGGGTCGGATTTCTTTGGCCACGACTGTATATTCCAGCCAGTAGCCACAGAACATAGTCAATACAGTACATGACATCGTACTACTGTTTTCAAGCACCCCATTTTTTGTATTAGGTGTTTGTTTCTTGATTTTATTCTTCTTCTTTCAAACTAGAGTATTTATGGTCTTGTGTGTGCACAGACTGTCGGCCAGGGTATGCGTACACCTGGCAGAAAGGAGCGTCAAGCTGACAGTCAGGTGAATGTCGCTGTTCCTCGCAGTCCTCCACAAACTCCACAGACTCCACGCCGAACAGTGGCTGAGTCTACTGAGCAGCTTCCGACCGGTCCTAGTCGTATCCAGCAGGCTACTATTGGAAGCAGTGGTTCTAGTAGACCCGTCTCTGGCTTTGCAACTGCTGCTACGGCTAGTCCAGGGAGTGCTGCTCCTGCCGCGGAGCAATCGGTTACACCGACCGTCTCAACAGCCAATATCGCCATCGCCGCTAGTGCAGCTAGGTCGCCAATGATATCTCAGCACATACACTCGGCTACTGGTGATGGCGGAAGAGTGACTGGTACCGCCGGTGCGGCTCCCGCGGCGGTTATGCATCCGTCTCCTGCCATTCGCATGGCAGTGCCACTCCTGCCATCTACAGCACTGATGAAATCCCTCCAGGTACGACGCTGGTAGCTTAGCTGCTAATCTTGCTCTACCTACACACAGCATACAAGCTGTTCTTCAGTCCATCTGTATTTCAATATGTCTTTGCCTGGAATTTGATCATGGCGAGCACTCAAGTCGATGTAGAGCTGCACTCTCTGTCTGTCTCTCTCTCTCTCTCTCTCTCTCTCTCTCTCTCTCTCTCTCTCTCTCTCTCTCTCTCTCTCTCTCTCTCTCTCTCTCTCTCCCTCTCTCTCTCTCTCTCTCTCTCTCTCTCTCTCTCTTTCTCTCTGTCTCCCTCCCTCCCTCCCTCCCTCCCTCCCTCTCTCTCTCTCTCTCTCTCTCTCTCTCTCTCTCTCTCTCTCTCTCTCTCTCTCTCTCTCTCTCTCTCTCTCTCTCTCTCTCTCTCTCTCTCCTCTCTCTCTCTCTCTCTCTCTCTCTCTCTCTCTCTCTCTCTCTCTCTCTTTCTCTCTGTCTCCCTCCCTCCCTCCCTCCCTCCCTCCCTCCCTCCCTCCCTCCCTCTCTCTCTCTCTCTCTCTCTCTCTCTCTCTCTCTCTCTCTCTCTCTCTCTCTCTCTCTCTCTCTCTCTCTCTCTCTCTCTCTCTCTCTCTAGTCTAATTGCAGCGTTCCACTGCTCCCCTGTCTGCTTGCTCGCTTCAGGTGCAGATTGATGAACTGCAGAAAAATATTTCCAGAACTAGCCAACAGCAGGAAGAGCTGCGAACTCAACAGTCCCGACTCTCTGGTAACTTGCAGAAAATGGTATGTACTTTTGATATCTGAATAGGCTCTGAATTCTTTGGCAACCTAACTGGATATCTGTACAGTAGATACATGTACGAGACGTTACCAGTGGTTAAAATGTTGAGCACGACCGAAGTTCTAGCAAAAGTTGTCTAGTTTGTCCTTCACAACATGTAGAGGCTTTGTGCTACTGCAATGGTGGATTGCAGTACATGAAAAGTTATTGAATGGCACCATACACACCTTACATGCACGCGTGGATTGCTGTTGCGCTGGTTGATTTACATCGAGCATTCGGAGTCTAAGCCGCAGGAGCGATTTTTAATTTTTTTTCAATGCGTTCTTTAAGGTGCAGCTAACACCCCCCCCCCCCCCCCCGGAAATACGGTACTTGATTTGACGATTGTTATTCAGGAGTTGTTGTTCGTGAGGTTGACTGTAGTGTAGCGGTATATTGCTGCAGTGCCTGCAGTTCAGCTAAGCAGCAGCCCCTGATCATCAGGGATTCGTATATAAGAAGGCAACATGAGACCCTAGTACCATTGAACCTTCGTCTCACCAAACCAACTGCTTTGCTCAGTTCTGAAATTTTGCCCGTTAACATTCATGGATTAGAGCCCCGGTTTTGACCATCTTGAAATTCTTATCTCCGACCAGTCTTTCTGGTCCCCAATGAAGGCGAAGTATCCGAAAATGCGCACACTATGGCAGAACAGCAGGCCTTCCCGTGATGGCCACTTGTCTCGCACAGCTAGCTGTCATCGCTGCGACCACGACCTGAGAATGCTGAACATGAGAGCAGCACTGCGACATTGCACTGGCAGATGACGTGTATGCTCCTCGAAAGGAATCACTATCTATCACTTCATAATTTCTGTTGTGCCTTTTTTTTTTGCGAAGAATTGTTTTATCCCGTGTTTTGAGCCCACAATGTTGTCACTTACGTCGCCAGGGGTTGTAACACGGTCTTCTTGTTTTCTTCTGTGCTTTTCGCAGTGGGCTCACTACGAGTTTAACTTGAAACTATTGCGAGATCTTTCTTCCAGCAATACTGGGCCAACTGCCAACATTACACGACTCTCGGTAAGTCAACTTTCTCTTGATGTGACGATGTGTGCGCTTGCAGGGCGATATTCAAAGTCGAGTAATTTGTACGCTCCGGGTAAACGGTGTGATTGCTGTCACCCGGCCGATTCCCTTTACAGGCAAGAAAGCTCCGCATGACGCTGGAATTTCGAATCTGATGACTACCTGCATGCACAGCGCACTCCTATCCTATAGAAAATAACAAACACATCTACTATAGAACTAGCTCAGGGGAAACTACTACTTCCTCCGGAAACAGAAGCTTCGTGACATTTTTATTCAGATTCCAAGGAGTCACTGTACTCGAGAAATTTGGTTTAGTGGAACGAAAAACACTTCACAACCAGTGGATATACTTCTTTGAAATATGTCTACTATTATACAAGAGAAATTGGAACCGTCGTAGTCACCATCGCTCGGTTCCCCAGAACTGACATGTTGATCAAAGGCCATTGACCAAAGTCACAAAGTTTTTGGTTCCGTACGAAGTGAACCCATTCTCATCCAGTGGACTATTCTACATTGCTAGCAGGCTCTGCATAACACTAGCCGACTAGGTCGAGCTCAAACGAAAACCACCGCACACTGAAACGAGCCCACCCCGCCTCGTGGCACACTTTGGAAGTGTATCAGTAGGCAGACTAGGCAGCTGCGACCCAAGACGAACAACTGTCAATGAGTGTGTTGGGGAGTGTGCAATCTGTAAGCCAGGCATGCTTGATACCATACTAGTGATGGGAGTGTGCAGTTTGCAACCCAGGCACGCTTGATAGTACCCTACTACTAGAGAAGTAGCATCTTTGGGGAGGGCGCTGTGGCTGCTCGTTAGAGTACAGCCATGCTCGGCGGTAGCCTGGCATGGCCGTTGACGGACGAGCGAGCATGTGCCTGGTGAGCTAGGCTGTACGGGCCTGCTGGGTGAGCTGAGTTTGACCGATGGGGTTCTGCTGATGATGTGTGCTCGACGGACGAGAGCTTAGCTTGCCAGCTGGGTGTGGTGGCTGGCTTGATCTCGGTCATAGGACTCACCAGGGTGGGGGAAGCAGAGACAGCAGCAGGGGATGCGGAAGAGACAGCAGCAGGGGCAGCAGAGACAGCAGCAGGGGATGCGGAAGAGACAGCAGCAGGGAATGCGAATGCACCCCTTACCTTCTCTTGAAAATCCTTTACAGCCCGCGGAGTCCTGCAATCTTGCTATTTGCAGCCCTTCTTTGCCGGTGTCATCCTGATGGAGCTCAGGCTCAGCACTGTGGCAGAGATGTTCCTTGAATCACTGAAGGTGTCTAACGGTAGAGAGCATCCAGAGCCTTCTGGGCATCTTTTTTGGGGGGGGGGGGGGGATTGTAAGCAATAAGCAGCACACAGAAAGAACAGGGCTAGAATCCTCATAACAGCACCGGAGTATATCTCGCGGCATGGCGTCAGTACAGGGACACGCACAATACGACAGCCGGCAGTACGTACTGAGGTGTCTGTCAATACTCAATAGCATACAAGTATCTCATGAACTCTTTTTCTTTTTTGGAGTCTGGCGACTGGGACAGACTTCTGGTGAAGTGTACTAGATGTTGTATAGAATTTGGGGAGGGGTGAGTCAGTATGGATTTTGATGAGGTGTTTCTAGTTTTCCTGTTTGTTTGTGCGTAAGGTGCGAAGCGTAGATACGCGAACGGTGTGTGGGTGTCACTGCTGGTATTCGTGACCAGTTGCTCTCATGCTTGGTAAAAGCACTCTGCTTTGGGGCAAGGAATTGAATTTTGCTTGTTGCTCCTTGTAGATCTTGGATGTGGTTGTGGGAGATCAGTATGGCTATTTGGCGTGAGAATGCTTCATCTGACGTTATTCACATGGCAAGCATGCTAGCAGCATACACGGGGCTGTTGTCATTGGTAACGGATGCTTAACAGCGGTATATAATTATGCTGATATTCTTCTTGTGCGTTTTCTGATGTGCTGTTGGTGCAGTCTGGCCGTCCCCGCTTGTCGACTGGGTCACCGCCGCCTTCGGCACCCGTTCTGCCTTCCTCTGGTCATAGCTCAGGGTCAGTGTCGCGACGCTGCAATGAGTCTTTGTGCCACCGTGCTGTGTCAGTCGAGCGTCTTGATAATACGCCTCAGCGCCAGCAGGGTGAAGAGTCTAGCCATGGCAATGGTACACCACACCAAATAGCAGCACTCACCTCTGGTACACCCGGTGTCGTTAACACGCCTTCTTCTTCTGAAGCAGTGCTTCTCGGCGCTCCACTCAAGCCACCTGAGTCTTCGTCGCAAGTGGGCAGTGGAGATTGTTCCCCGGTTTGGGCTTCTGCCGTGTCTGCTCAGCCTGCCAGCGACCAGTCTCTGGGTTCCAGTGTTTCTGTGCGCCGACGACGTGCGGTCAATAGCCCGAGATCTGACGCAGCGCATCTACCGGACACGGGGTTGCCTGTAGCCATGCGACCGTTGCATTCAGGCCGTGACCACGCAGGTGCCTTGTCCCAGTCCGATCCGGGGGAAAGGGAATCAGCGCTACCTGTGCATTCTCAAGCTAACTGCGAATACTTTGAGCGGCGTCTACAGCGAGTTCTCCGTCGCAGCGAACTCTTTCTGGAGAGAGACCGATTGTTGCAATCCCGAATCGCCAAATTGCAACTTCAGTAGGGACACCATGAACATTTGTTTCTGTATTTCTACGAAGTTATCATTTTATGTTGCCTGTTCCTTACAGCTGTTGCGACTTATAAGTGTGCAACTGGTTCCTTTAGTGCCTTGCTGAATGATTGCAGTGGCTCCGATCCACTCGACGGTGATGTGCATTCTAGCACACCTGTCCTTATTGCTTTGAGTGCCGTACTGTGTGTACGTGTGGTTTCACTGCTGTCTCGGCATCTGTTCAACCTTTTGTGTACATGTACCGCTAGTATTATTGTCATGATGCTGACGACGATGACGACAACAACGACCACTGCTACTGTCATGTTGAGCTGGGTGTTGTTGAAGTTGAAATTATGAGTTTGTTTTGTCCTGATCTGCTGAATCCATTGGAGTTAGATTATTATGTCATGGTTTAGGCGTGTACTGTATACAAACAACGGCGATAGCATCTTGTTCCATTGCCAATGCATGCACCATTACTCTAGAATTAGTAGTACGACATGTGTGCTTGAACTAGTTCTTTTATCAACATAATCCAGTATGCAGGAGGAGTGTTCATATGGTCCGAGTCCTGTCCCCTATATTATTGTCTGTACGTGTAGTCCTTTGCGCTGTCTACACAATGGTTAAGCTGTATCCCTCAAACCAAGAGTACATGAAAACCAGAGTGTGCAGCTCGGATAGGTTGCTGTCACGGCGGAATTCCGTGATTACATCATTTTAGTGATGTAGCGCGTACAAGCAGGATTCAAGCGGGTCTCTTTCTGCACAACTGCAGCTCAGTTGTACGCACTACGCCATTTCCCGCCTCAGATCTGCGCCAAATATGATGTAATCACGGTATTCCGCCGTGACAGACACCCATAGCAGAAAAGGTCCCAAGCCGCACACTCTGGTTTTCATGTACTCTTGCTCAAACAGAGCGAGACTTGGTCTGGTACGGCATGGGTTTTGGTCAGGCGAGCGCGCGCGTGTGTGTGTGTGTGTATGTGATAGAGTCTGAGAGAGACAGACGGAAGACTGGTGTGTGCGAGCCAGAGTGGACTCTCCCCTAGAGAGTTGAGTTGTATTGCAGCGAAATTCAAACATTACGTTATACATGGGCTATTTATCAGTGAAAAGTTGGCATCAACAAGAAAGTCCCACCAAGAACGTGCTATAAGAAAAAAGAACGCAGCCAGATATCTGAAAAATAAGAACGTCCCAGGCTAACCCCTTGGAAACAACGTTCTTGGATGCACGACTCTACTGTAGGGCCAAACAGAGCGGAGTTGTACTCTTGGTTGCATGTATGCAGCATGCCGGTAGTTTTATTCCCGTAGCTATGCAGAAGACGTTACTTCAGTAACGTCTGGCGCTAGCCAGGGTCCACACAGCTTTAATTCCCGTAGCTATGCAGAAGACGTTACTTCAGTAACGTCTGGCGCTAGCCAGGGTCCACACAGCTTTAATTTGGTATTTGTGTGTTTGTGTGTTTGTGTCACGCCTGGCGCTATCCCGTATCTGTCCCGTACCGTACCATCAAACACAGCTGGCCGCAATATTAAAATAGGGCTTTCAAACGCAAGATCATAACGTGAAGCAACTTGGAAGAATGAGTATGAATGCGAAGTGTCTGGGGGGAATGCATGTAGGGCGATAGTGCGGGTTCGAATCCCAGGTTATGCCTAAAAAAAATAGGAGAATTGAAAAAATTATAACATCCTTATGCTTTTCTTGCCTAGGTCATCAAGGCGGTAGACGGTGTTGTATTATCCTCGACCGTACCTGTGCCGTACCTGTCCCGTACCGTACCATCAAAGACGGCTGGCCACAATGCATATTCAAATAGGGCTTTCAAATGCAAGACCATAACGTGAAGCAACTTGGAAGAATTAGTATGTATGCAAGTGTATCGGGGGATGCATGCAGGGCGATAGTGCGGGTTCGAATCCCAGGTTATGTCTTTAAAAAAAAAAGGAGAAATTTATAAGAATTTATAGCTCGACTTGTCAGGGGTTCTAGGGCTGATAATCCCCTGACCCAGGGGATTATTCTTCATAATCCCCTAGGTGAGGGGAAAGAGCCCAAGACTTTGGACTGCTCTCACTATACCTAGCGAGAGTAGGCCAAAGCAAGCTAGCCAAACAAACCCCAAAGAGCCAGCCTGGAAGCTGCTGTGTGAAATCTCAATCAAATGACTTTATTATAGGAAGGTAAGTGAACAAGTGGACATATTTACAAAACTCTCACATGAGCACCGTGAATATGTTTTTTGTATCAGATGAACATGGATGTGACATGTGAACGTGCAATTACAGCTGCTCATGAATAATTGGCAACAAAGTACATGACTGTATGTCTGCAACGTCAACGACAACGTTGCCATGGAAACTGAACAACAAATGAAAGCAATTACACTGTATTGTATCGTAAATAGGTTTACTATGGAACCTAAACAAGAGAAATGTTGTTCTTTGTATTTGAATTCGCAAGAAATCCAACACGCACGCATCTCGATCTCAACAACAATGTTGCCATGGAAACTGAACACTGGTCATACCGCCCATCAGGCATCACCCTCGGCCTCCCTCCCTCCCCCTCAAAAATTAATTGGCTGAGAAAATTCGAAGAGAAAAACACACAGATCAGGACTTACAAGAGTACACAACATGTGGGGCCTGAACTCCCACCAGAACAAGAAGAAATCCATAAAAGCAGGCTGAGGCAATGTAAAGAGAAAAAAAGATCAGGTATTGTTTTTTTCATTTGTCAAATTGTGTTTTGTTCCTGTGTCATGTTTCCTTGCTTTGCAAGCTTGCCTTTCCTTTTTTTTTGTTGAGCTTGAAAAAGTACTACTGAGTACTGTACTCCCTGCTTACAACTGAAAAGGTGTGAAAGCCAACAACTGTGTACCGTGCACGTGATGATCGATGGCTGCGCAGACCCCTGACAAATCGAGCTATATACAGATAGTGCACGGATTGGTCCTCGGAAGAATATTTTTCATAATCCCCGCGGCGCTGCGCGCCTTGGGGATTATGAAAAATATTCTCCTCGGATCCGTGCACTATCCTATACATAACACCTCTATGCATTTTTTGTCTAGGTCATCAAGGCAAAAAAAAAGCATAGCGTAGGGCCCTGAGCTTCCAAGCTCTCTCGTTTGGTGTTTGTGTGTTTGTGTCACGCCTGGCGCTATCCCGTATCTGTCCCGTACCGTACCATACCATCAAACACAGCTGGCCACATACAGCTGGCCGCACTATTCAAATAGGGCTTTCAAACGCAAGATCATAACGTGAAGCAACTTGGAAGAATGAGTATGAATGCGAAGTGTATGGGGGAATGCATGTAGGGCGATAGTGCGGGTTCGAGTCCCAGGTAATGCCTGAAAAAATAGGAAAATTGAAAAATTTATAACATCCCTATTCTTTTTTTGCCGTCATCAAGGTGGTAGATGGTGTCGTATTACCCTCGACCGTACCTGTCCCGTACCTGTCCCGTACCGTACCGTACAATCAAAAGACGGCTGGCCACAATGCATATTCAAATAGGGCTTTCAAATACAAGATCATAACGTGAAGCAACTTGGAAGAATTAGTATGTATGCGAAGTGTATCGGGGGATGCATGCAGGGCGATAGTGCGGGTTCGAATCCCAGGTTATGTCTAAAACAAAAAGTAGAAATTTATAAGAATTTATAACATCCCTATGCTTTTTTCGTCTAGGTCATCAAGGCAAAAAAGCATAGCGTAGGGCCCTGAGCTTCCAAGCTCTCTCATTTTATTTTTACTACAGAAGAAGATAGTGTGATATCAAAATGATATCTAGGCTGTGTGTACGTGAGGCGTTTCAAACCGCCATGAACACATATTGACTGGCGCGTTTACATGACGCATTGCGCTTGACCCGGGTTGATTTCAACCCTCCCCTTGGGAGGGGGGGGGGGGGGGGGTTGAAATCGCGAAATTGTACTACCGTACTTCTGTGCGTATCTGGCGCCAAGTTTGAACAGCACTGCATAGGCAAAATTCGCGCGCAAGTATTCACGTGACCATAGAGGACTCTAGAAGTGGACTTTTGGCGGCATATCAGTATTTGACCCGGGTCAACTGTCTTCATGTATTAAAACACCTACATATTTTGTCTATCCTACAGACTTTCAACCCGGGCTGAACTCTACCCGGGCTGAAACTTCTCCTGTAAACACAGCCCTAGAGTACATAACCCCAAGAGTATGCAACGCTGCATATGGGGTCTGGCACAGCACACTGCCTGCATTGCGTAGCCACGAACTCTGGTCATTTGCGTCATTATTGATCTGCTTTCAACTCCGCTGTCTTTGGAGACTTCGGATAGCTTTCTACGTGATGTGTCATGAACAGGCATTGCCTTTGAACTTGCTGTTATGCACATGAAATCGTTGAGGCTAAACCGTAGGAAAACTCAAATCCAGGCAGCTGGATCGTCATTTCACTACAGTCAACTTTGCGTATAACGACACTCGGCGGGGCATCAGAAAAGTGTCCTTATTCGCAAAGTGTCCTTATGCCCGAAGTCACATTATATGTGTACAGTTGGATGGGACTTTGCTCTGGGCATGGAAATTCTGCCGTTATTCGCGAATTGTCGTTATATCCGCAGTCGTTATTTAGCGAAATTGACTGTACATATTTAACTTGAAGGCAGTGCGCTGTGCAGGGCACCCATAGTTCGAAGATCAGAGTCATACACTCTCGGGGTTCTATACTACTCTTGATGGTGTGTGTGTGTAAGATGACAAGGGACTTGCTTACTGGCTTTGACCTACATACATGTAGTACTTTGTACTGCATGCATGGGATAAAGCAGAACGGAAAGGCATGTGAATGCGAGGGAGGTGGTGTGATGATTGCCACTGTGGAAAGAAGCAATTCTTAGGTGTAACAGGAAAGCAGTGGAAAGTCATACATGTACTTACTTGCACACAGGGGACCGTGATCAAGAAGGCGACTCCCTCAGGACGATATCCCTCCATTGAACTCGATTGGGGCTGAGGCTTGCAATTTCCCCATACGTAGGAAACTCGGGTGTACAATTTATGATAGTGGGGGTTTGCTTTCGCGCAGCCCCTGCACAAAACAAAGCAAAGGAGAAAAGTATAATTCTTCTTTCCTCTCTCTGTGTACACTATTCCTGTAATCAGAAACAATCAGATGGGAAGTACATGTGGCTGTGCTAGAATGGGTTATTGCAAGTTGCTGTTGCTGTTGGGAATGTTTTCCCTTTGCAGGGAGGAGGAGGAGGAGAGAGAGAGAGAGAGAGAGAGAGAGAACGAGAGGAAGAGAGTTAAAATGTAGGAGTTTTGCAAAATCTAGTTTTGGGGACATGTTTTGACAATTTTCCTTTTTTCCAAATCCCTTTCTTCATTCAATGCGTTCATATTGTGCTGGTTCAGAGCAAGTACTAGTTTTCTTGAAGTCAAGATGACGAGTACAGATGTCCTAACATGAGCTGATGTCTGATGAGATGCTAAATGGGTGTTGCCATAGAAATATGGTCTGGCAGCCTGTCGATGTGGCGAGCAAATTATGCTTGTCGCACTTGGTTATTTTCAAAAGTTGATTTACACTTTTGATAGAGAAAATGATGACTGTTGTGTGTGTAGTCTAGAGGGATATATCTGGCAGCATACATGTATATACTGTAAGAAACTGCATCCTCTAAAGTGCAGCAGGTAAGTAGAAGCTTGCCCGGGAACTTGGATAGGCCATACTCTGGTTTACCTTCAACCACGAATAAATCTTTCGCCTTTTACTATAGATTTCCGTGAAGGTGGACAGTAAAGGAGTCTTCGAAAGAATTTTCTTTAGCCCTTGCTCACAGAGCCAGGCTCGATAAGTTGCACACAAAAAAGAGTGGACTGAATGACTGTTCTGTGTCACTGTCAGGAGATAGTAACTGCACTGCCATTGGACCTGTTTTCTGAACCGAGAGTGAAGAAGACTAAGTCTTGATGACTGTTTGTGCTGTGTGTGTGTGTGTGTGTGTGTATGTGTGTGTGTGTGTGTGTGTGTGTGTGTGTGTGTGTGTGTGTGTGTGTGCCAGCTAGTTCGGTTGGTGGGTACACTTATGCCTGATTGTGTTGGGTCTGTTGCCAACGGGCTCGGCTACATGAAGGTGTAATGTTGTACCTGCCACCTTTGTTGGTTCCAGGGTTCATATACTTTCTATTTGAAGTATACATACCTGTTAACCATGGACTGCTTCTGGCTAGATTAACTCTTGTGTAATCAATGGTGCTAGTGAAGCTAATATCAGATCCACTCTGATTTAGCCACCCACACTAGTAGCACGTATTACCTTCACTGGGGGCAGGGGTAACTGCAGTTGGATCCCAGGACGGATACCCTGATGCCGTCAATCCTTTTTCTGCACCTTGTCCTCACCCACTTACTGAGGTGTGGTGAGCCCATAAGTGGGATCATTTTCAAGTCCACCCAGAGTTTTGGGGATTTCAGGGGGTGTCGGCCGTTGGGCGGTTCAATAGCCAATTGAGTCATCTTTCCAAGATTCCTTTTGAGTCTCTCTCCCCTCTCCCGGGGAGACCCACGTGACCGGTTTTGGCAGTGTGCAACAAGTACAAGTACAAGTACAAGTACAAGTGTGTGTGTGTGTGTGTGTGTGTGTGTGTGTGTGTGTGTGTGTGTGTGTGTGTGTGTGTGTGTGTGTGTGTGTGTGTGTGTGTGTGTGTGTGTGTGCTGTTTGTGTGTGCTGTTTGTGTGTGCTGTTTGGAACTGATTGGTCGTGTACACTGTGGAGATTTGAGAGGCGTAGGTTTGAATGAAGTGGATTGAGCCATGCATGTGTATGTATGCAACATGCCAGTAGGAGGTTGGATGCCATAGAAGGAGATAGTGTAAACCATTTAAAATGATGTACTAGTATCCAATAGTAACGCGTGATGTGCGCCTTGATCCTGAGACCATCACCATCGGCTGGGGGAGCGCACTTCACATCACTTGCACAGCTTTTATCACCTACACGCCACGCCCTCTTTAGTCCCCTGTGTTCTCTTACTGTTTCTAATCTTTATTCTCACGATGGCCTGTGGCCAATAAGAGATGTGTGTTGTTTCAAATCTTTATTCTCACGATAGTTGTTGTTGTTGTTGTTGTTGTTGTTGTTGTTGTTGTTGTTGTTGTTGTTGTTGTTGTTGTTGTTGTTGTTGTTGTTGTTGTTGTTGTTGTTGTTGTTGTTGTTGTTGTTGTTGTTGTTGTTGTTGTTGTTGTTGTTGTTGTTGTTGTTGTTGTTGTTGTTGTTGTTGTTGTTGTTGTTGTTGTTGTTGTTGTTGTTGTTGTTGTTGTTGTTGTTGTTGTTGTTGTTGTTCTCTTCCTTTGACTTTCTATGTAGGCATGTACACTTTCATAAAAATAAAATGAAACTGGCCCAAGCGAAGACAGTCCTGTGCGGACGAACCAAGGACAACGACTTCAGTTCAGGAAAAGCCCCGGCGACAGTACAATCGTATTATGCTTGTATGTACTTGGCGGTCGAACAGGAACAAGCTTTCAACTCAAGGACACGCGGACGGAGGTTTGGCGACTAGTTCGCACCACTACTCGCACCGTGACTATCTAAATATGCACGGAGTCTGTGCCCAGCACCAGCACAGCACGAAACAACTAACACCTCACGCAGCTGCCCGAGTCAGAAAGTGAGACATCGCCTGATATGAACGTCGTCACGTTCGTAGACATGCTAAAATGCTCTAAAAATGCCAAACGTGGGTGCAGCCGCTACCCCAACCACCGGTGCACCATGTGTAGATCTACCACCACTGCATTGCAATATTGGTTTGCACTGCCATTGCACTGGTGTGTGGCGGGAGAGCCCCGTGAACCGTTCAACGCTAGAATGATAAAGAGTAGTGTTGTATACTATCATCATCATCATGATCATGGTTGATGTACCGACGAGAATGGTGGCCCCTTTGTGGGCTAGGGCGGCCACATGTTACATGGCTGGATCACGTTTAGAGTGCTAGGACAGGATCCGGCAAGCGGTCGAAGTTGTGAAACGTTCTTCCTCCGTGGACAACCACGTGTGTGCCCGAACCTTGCGAACAATACATTTAGTGATTTACACTCCAGCGCTGGAGAGGAAAAGGAAGCGGGTTGTTCTGCATGGGTTCACTTGTCGTTGCAAGCAGTGTTTTCGCGTTTTGCATTACCATTTCCCTACATTCTAGTACAATACAGTCTTGATCCTATCCAGTCTTGCTGGGCGGCCAGTGGCCATGATGCACTGCCGCCAGTGCAGATCAGCCTTTGAAACAGTCACACATGCTGCGGAACTGTTAGTGTTACTGGTGTGGTATCGTTGGCGACAATAATGAGGCATGCAGCGAACCTTGCCCGATCATCATCACTCATCATCATCAGTCAGTCCCCATGAATGATCATAGCGACACAAGGCGCGTAGTGCAACAAGTGGCAACACACAGTCACAGTGACACTTGTCTCATTACAACCGTTCGCTAAAACTAAAGTATAGCGTGACAATCCATGCCACTATTATATCGCATATTTGTTTGAAACTAACAGGAGCCTACATTGTAGCCCCCCAAACCCCGCCCCAGAGCGTTTGTTGGCATTCTACTGTTCTTTCAATCAAATGAACCCCTCGATAGGCGGCACATTGCCTTTGGGTCATTTCATAATAATATCTCATGAGATGTCTGTTTTTATGGTGTACGAACACAATGACGTTACATGTACCGGTACATGTACATGTATATACACTATACAGTCACGTACACCAGTTAGCACACGTTACGTGGCTCCTGCAGGGATGTGCTGCAAAACTGATGAAAGTTAGTTGTTGTTGTTGTTCTTTTTATTTGAATTCGCAATAATAGCTTTTGCCTTTGGCGGATATCATGGATATTGCTGGCAGGAAAATTGGCAAACATTTGGTACTTTTTCTGGTACGTTTTATGCACGTTTGGTTTGTGGATAGAGAAATGGAGCAGAACTCAAGGAAGTGCCTGCCACAAGGGTTGTACATGTACGGTTCTGCCAGTTTCACTGCTTTTCGAGCAATATCCGCCAAATGCTAACTGATTCCATGCCGCGTTTTGACCTCCAACTCCAAGCCCATGATCTAGTCGTGTAGTCGTTGTGTATACGTGAATGCATCAGCTTGTACTGTGACTGTTGGTTGACAGCATGTTGCAAACAACTGATGCAGAGGATCACTGTGTTCGGAAACAGTGACCGTACTACAACCATCCACAGTTGGCAGAGCCCTGGTCTTGCGACCATTATTTTGAACCGCATGGGTGTTAGCCCTGGTTATCTAATACTGTATTATGTAGTACTAATACCACGGCATACATGTACGTAGTGAAGTGTCTTGGTCAAGAGGGCAGCTACAATTGTAGTGTTGCACTTGCAGGCCGGCTGTCACTGCCACTGCCACTGCCACTGTAGCTGGAAGAAGTACTACTGAGTGCTGTGTAAGGTTCTACGTAACAATAATTCCCATGAGATCAGTAGCTCTACGGGTTCTGTATCAAAGTACGTAGTAAAGTTTCTCATTGCATTCCCGGTCCTTATGAAGTTATGTGGTGATACAGAACCCACATTGATCTCACGTTGACCATGGTAGACTCCAGTAGTAGGTCTACTGGCTGGCACTATGGCTGTATGGAGGCCACACCCTGCGAAAGTGCATGCAACGAATTAGTGGAGGGAATTGTTGTACAACTTACTTACTACAAGTACATGTAAGGTGCATACACAAGTTCACAATGACGAGAAACTTTGCTTGTTGTAACTCAAGGCCAGTCATTACAGACCCAATTTCCATGAAACTCAGGATTACAACAAAACACAGTAAGTTTCTATTCGCATTATGCCTTCGGATTCCCCTCTTTGCACTAGTTCACCACAGTTACCTCCTGCATCACGCAAAGCTTCCCACTCTTGTTTTCTTAGCTCACTACTCAAGCTCTACTAGCATGGGACATCCATCACCACATCTGCAACAGCCACATATTGCACCACAACATCAACACCAACCATATACCCTTCGACAGACGAGGACCTACTCCATCGCACTCGCCGCGTGACACACAAACAGGCACCGAGATTCCCTATCAACAGCGCCCCCACCCATTACAACTCACTCCCTACCGACATCACAACCCAACCTCAAACAATGCATTGAGTCTTCTTCCGAGCAGCACCTGTTCCTGCTCCGCACACCCTCTTGGTGTCTGATATCTCGATCGCCCCTGCTAGCGCTATTATTGTATTGACCCCGCTAGTTTTTCATTAAAAACATGGCCACCAGCGCGTTAGTGATGCTACTCTTACAGTCAGTACACTGTATGATGCTGACGTCGCTGCTATAATTATTTTGGGCGAAACCACCATCTACAGTGCTGCTAAACCGTCCGGTTTTCGGACAGTGTCGGTTTTTGAAGGCTCTTCCGAAAAGCAGCCAAAAATGTCAGGGATCTGTACTTTCCTATGCAGAAGTCCTGTACTTTCACTTTTCAGCGCAACTGAAGGCACAACTCACTGTACATGTGCTTCTAAAAAGGCTAGCTTGGCTGGAGCCTGGAAGACTTCAAGAGCGAGACTTTCCTCTTGCTACAACTTTAATACCACACAGTACAATAATAATTATAAAGAAGCCTTGCTTGGTTTTTCGATTCGTAGTTGCCATGCACATTTGCATGACGACTTGCGAAACCTGAATCTGTTTTCAACGAAACGATTACGAGCCAAATTAAACTTTCGTTTCGCATTCGATTCGTAGCAAATGCGAAAGGTGCCTACATGTACTGTCGACTCGAGCTACATGTACATGTATCTCAGGAGAGTGAGCGCTGGTGCGATACTGTTACTACGCGAGAACTCCGTATCGACTGAGTAACGATGGAAAAGCAAGCGACAACTCAGATTTCTGCACTCCTAGAGATCCTGATGACTATTGACAGTATTGTAGTGATGATCATGACCTCTCCGGATCTCCGGGCCCTCTCGACACGTCGTGTCATGTGTAACGACACAAAACAGCTGAGCACATGAAAGATGATGCTAGTTTCCGTCTTTCGCGCATGTCAGTATCATCATGACGGCTCCGCCTGCCCGCAGGCTGTAGCCGGGAACCCTAGCCCCAGCCGGCCCTAGCGCCTAGGCTAGAGCCAGTAGAGGTCGTCATGCATGGTCGGTGAGGCGTCAAAGAAGAAGAACATTAAAAGCAGATTGAATTTTTAAACGACAACGATAATATTATTTTATTTTGACCAGTCCGGTTACAAAACACATTGTCAAGGCACAATGTGTCGGCGTAGATTTACCCGTGACGTCGGTGCGTCCTACTCCAAACACCACACCACACTCCACACTCCACACACACACACAGACTCAGACTCAGACTGTCAACCACCACTCCAGTCCTGGCCCAGTGACAGTGTAGACCTACCGCGCTACGCAGGGCAGCAGGGAGGAGTAGATCTACCGCGCTACGCAGGGCAGCAGGGAGGAGTAGATCTACCGCGCTACGCAGGGCAGCAGGGAGGAGTAGATCTACGAGTACAAAAATTACATAACTGACAACAGTCGGACTGGTTCGTCAACAGACTCTACCACTATCAATGTCTCAAAGTATCAGTCTATGCAAGCATGGGGGCAAAAGGGCCGCATTATGACCGCGATCACTGCAATCTAGATGATTGATGATGAGAAATGCGTGCATTCACTGCGTTGTTTGCATTGTTTCTGGCGGCACGAGTAGACATGCACCTTCAAAAGCACCAAACCGGCGAAGTAGAGCGAGGTCGAGGCCAGAGCGACTTCTTACTTCTGTGTGAGTAGATCCATACGACCATAGACTAGTATGTAGATGGGAAGATACTGAGATAGTTAGCATAGCGCTCGGCCTACGCGCGCCGCTTCACATGCCATAACCGCTCAACTACTTAGTATGTGTACTTGTGTAGAGCTACGTGGGTGCAGTATGTCACTGACTGTGTCAGTTTCTGTCAATCAGACATCACCTGATCACACTTCACAGTGCATGCATCGGATCACACCTCTCGTTCTCGCAAACGATCACTGACTGAGCGTAGATCTACCGGTATGCGTAGCACTAGCACTACACTCTACACTACAGGCTGTAGACGTGTGGTAGTACAGCTGTTTTGCACTCAGCGCAGCCTAGCCTCACCTGAATGTGACGTGACCATAGATTTTCCTAAAATCGGATACTAGCACGACATTCTGAAAAATCATGGCCAAGTATCGGATCTGATCTGAATGAAGTGGAGCTTCTCTTCCTCGGGAACTACCGCAACAGCAGCAGGCTGTGAAAGACTGAAACGAGTGCTGGAGCCGATCGATGTCGACCTGAACTGCCGCCGACCTACCATCTGTGTTGGGTGTAGATCTACTCTGTGTGATGACCAGGGCGACCGAAGCTGCTGGCGCTGCCAGTGCAGTGGCCATGGCTGCGTTGTGAGATTGTTATGTGCGAGTGCGCCCGAGTCCCGTGCTGCTAACTCACTGGTGTGTGTGTGTGTGTTGTCGACGGAGCGAATAATTTTGATTCCAGTGGGACGATCTTTATCATCGACGACCGTGTCGAGCAGTGCAGTAGCCGAGTAGGTAGTAGTAGGGTGAGTTGTCTACCCATCAGCCATCGGCCCTGCATGGCCCTGCAAATGCAATGCATGCGGCTAACCTTGATTTGCGTGCATAGTTAGCAACTGCCGTACTCGTTTCTCAGCCGTGCGACGAATCGAATGGTGGCACGGGCTGCTGCCACGACAGTTGGAAGTACCAGCAACCGCTGGAAAACAGTTGCTACTCCTGTCGTAGATCTACTCCTACTGGCGATTGGATGTAAGCGTTGTGAGCGCAACGGAGCTGCGGTGTAGTTAGCGAGCTGTTTGGGGACCTGCCAGTCGTTCGGTGTTCCACTGCTGCTTGGAGAAGTGTCGCAAGGGCTGTGCTGATGTCTGGAATGGAACCTAAGCTGCATGGACTTACTAAAGAGGTATGCCGGCGACACGACGTTGACGCCATAGCAATGTTGTGTGTATGGGTGCCTAGTTTGATGAGTTTTGTAGAGGAAACGGGAAAGGGAGCAGCATGAGATTGTGTCACTTATTAGTACTGTTTGCCGAGCTCCACAAGCCCTTCGTAGACAGCAGCTCATGCACACCTTCACATTGTTCTTGTCCTGTCAGTATATTCACCCATTGTCACCCTGCGTGTATGTTGTACTTGTAGTAACTAACTTACTTGTATCATTTCAAAGACTATCGGAATGGGGGAAGATCGAGTAAAATAAGAGAGATGGCAGATCTCGAGAGCTAGCTGGCGGGTTTGTTTCTGTTCTGAGGTCGCTGCTGGGGTGCGAAAAGCCCTCGAAAATGCGGTTGTCAAGGTGTTGCGGCAGCCGTCAAGCAATTATTCGGAAGAGATTTACAATGTCCGTGTGAACATCAGTTCCTTGCCATTTGCATCGCTCGCACCAGGTAGATAGCAGTCACACATGCCCGATTATTTTATGCCCAGATATTGCAAATGAGAGAATAATCTTCGCGTGTCCATGTTCGTGGCAGCGTGAAATGAGTATCGCAGACTTGGCAATCGCTTGCCTAGCGCCTGCACTCAGATCAACACTGATAGCCTAGACAGTATGTTTGTGACTGCTGCAAATAATGTCCAATGGCAATGCTCCTGTTCCTTGTGCAAGGACTCTGGTGATGCCGTAGTGTCGCCGGACTGGTAGATCATTTTTAGCAACTCTCCATAAATCTTGTTTTTCAGACTTCACTGGTCATTCTATGGACATGTGGTGTCATCTTTGGGCAATGCCCATGGCATGGGTCCATATGCATAGGCGGCCAGTGTGTGGAAAATAGGACTGGAGAGTGGGCTCTGTGGTGTAGCGATCTGTCACACAGAATGTCATTTCTCTCATTCCTGGCCTGGAGCTCCTAAACTGTGTGGTGATTTGCTCCACGCAGATGGCTTCATCTGGCTGCACAAGTATCTTGTTTGTAAATGTGTTTTGTGATGTTGCACATACTGCTCACAGTGCATTTAGTTGTTGTATTTTTCTACCCGCGTTTCTACCCGCGTAACATCCTCTTCGCATCCATAACAGTTATCGGCTAGCTGGATCAGTTTCAGGTCCGAGGCTATTGGGAAGGAAATTTAGACACGGACATCGCACATCCACACATACAGTAGCAGGTAAAAACCCAACCAAGTGACTACCTGGCCAATAGACCCAATTTCTTTCCAGTTTCGGAACGGCATGTATTCTAAATATGCCCGGTTTGCCCTGGAATCGCGGACCACCTGCTTTCAAAGACCATGAGAAGCTGATTCCATGGGCCGGTAGTTGCCAAAACCAGGTTTCGTGTCTGTCAAACTGCGGTGTGTGTGTGTGTGTGTGTGTGTGTGTGTGTGTGTGTGTTTGCCCACCGTGCACGGTGTTTCGCACTTGACACAGTTCAGCGGCAATCTGTTAATATTGAACAAACTGCTGCGCGCCGCTATTCGCATTGGTGATGTGATGGTGCAAGACCAATGTTAGGCACGTCATAATTATAATTGTTATCGCTTGAGCTGATTGTCAAGTACAGTGCGTATCGGTTATAGCATGGTCGTGTAAAAGAATATACTGCCTACAAGAATGAACTCTCATGTTTTCATAATCATAACATGGATTTCAAGTGCACATTTATTCTTACAAGCAATTTTATCGTACAGTAGAATATATCGGTCCTAGGAATGGACTTTGTGTAGCAAAACATACCAGATTAGTACAAAGTATATCGCCTGTAGTAATAATATCCATTCAATGCAGTTCCGATCTGACTCGCGTTGGGTCGTAGTGCTGCAGGTTCAACTGTTGTGGTCATGTAACTCATGTTGCATAGCCACATGGTAAGCCTATGTCACATGTGACTATGACCAGCCGCATGCACCGTAACACTACATAATATAAAATAGTCATTGCATGTACGATGATCTTCCTAGAGATCCTGCCTCTGCACACATGCACATGATATGTCACACTTGATTTATCGCGTGTAAGAAATATCGGAAATAAGAATAGAAAGTCGTTTTTCAGACACCCACGCTATCACCGATACCTACTGTGACTGGCGGTGTTAGTGGGCATTATAGCGTAACTTGTAGTTCCTTGGTCCTTTTCTTTGCTGTAAATAAAATTACTTCTATGACATCAACATTGACTCCACCAGGTTGGTGTATGTAGTTTCCGAGACTTGGCAAGAGTGGAGATTAGACCACACATTTGGGAAATGTGGGAAATACAAGGTGTTAGCTGTTGCTATTTCTTCCGTCTTTTCGACGTTTGACAGAATTTGCATTCTGTACAACAGATGCTGGCCATATGCAGCAATCTGTGACTCTGTGTGCTTGTTTCGATGCCAACTACGGACTAGTCTAGCCAGTTTCAAACTAACTGTGGCGTTGATCATTGGGAAAAAAAACAAGAGCCAGTGGATGAATGCTACTCTCCAGTATAGTACTGGTCTCTGTGCTGCTCCGGCATGTACATGATTGTATACAGCCTATCCTAGAGAATGTCGTTGAGAGTGTGCTGCACGTGTGTGTGTGTGTGTGTGTGTGTGTGTGTGTATGTGTGTGTGTGTGTGTGTGTGTGTGTGTGTGTGTGTGTGTGTATGTGTGTGTGTGTGTGTGTGTACCTTTATGCACATTGGTTGTGTGAACACGGACCGCACCGCAATGCATTGTCACACGGCTATACCCGTTATACCCATATCCGTACTCGTCCAGCTCTAACCTGGGGCATACGGAGTGTTGCACGTTTTCTCCGCTGTACTGCTTCCTGGCAAGCTGAACACTGACTGGCGGCGGTGTGGAGCTGTGTCTCAATTGCTGTTCTTGCAGTTTAGTATGCTGTGCAGCACTCTAGGAGTGATTGAGAGTTGGTCACTGTGTGCTGCTGTGTGCTGCAATAGGATTCCAGCCATCACCTTTCCGCCCACGATGGAGTTCAGTTCGCTCAGCAGACCGTGGCCAGGATGAAAAAGATCATTGCCTCACCCATGGGCAAGCGGAAACAAAATGGAGGTGAGTTCCAGTCGGCTGTTCAACTTGGTGTAGCGTGGTGAGCCAACATTGAAGGTGGTGGCTACTTGTTAGGATGTCTGCATTTGCCGGTAGAGAAAGCATCCTATGGGTGCATAGTTTGCATGCGAAGTCATGCGATTTTTTTCTGCACCCTGGAAGCGTCACTAGCTCTTTCAGATCGAAGACGTCAGAGGTGCAGATCCTAAAGAGGTAGATGTGTGTGGATCAGACCCACCGCCCAGTCGTTGAGGATAGAAAGATTCCACGAATAAGTAGCCGCATTCAAGCCAGCCTCTTGGTAGGTTACGCATTCCCAGTAGGCAGCGAGTCGCAACATGAACAGAAACGTGTTCAACTAACTTAGTCAACTTCTGAGCAGGACTTGAGCATGCAGTTTTCACTCTTTTTCCCCAGCCGGGCCTTATTATGCCGTCCCGTCAGGTATGCTGGCTTTCTCTGAGCGCTCTTACAGTGTATGTTGTGGACAGTTTGCAGGCGTGCCAGAAGTCTGGAGTGCGCCATGCTGCAGGCGTGCCAGAAGTCTGGAGTGCGCCATGCTGCAGGCGTGCCAGAAGTCTGCAGTGCGCCATGCTGTCATGGTTGCCATCCAATGTGTACACTTGGTCATGCAGCGATATGGCTAGCTGAGAAGATGAGCGTCCTTTAGAACGCGATTGTCCTTTGGGACAGACCAACAGTGAAGTAGCCATCAACATTCTCCATGCACCTGCAATACATAAAACGAAGCTTTAACATGCCTGTCTTTTTTTCTTTCTTTTTTCCTCAGCTGCAGCGTATGGTGTGCCACTCGGTGAGCTCATGATTCAAGCTGGCCGTGTTGCTGTCGTGCCAGTAGTGATGGACAAGCTGATCGATTTCATCACCAAGCATGGTAAGGCCAGGTGGCACTTATTTGTCTCACCGCACTACCATTGCCACTCGGCGAGTCGCAACAGCTGATTGGGCTGCCAGCGAAATTGGTTACCATGCCTCGCACAGTGTTCTATCCTTGATTTTTTCCGGTAACAGCACGGTACCAGCGATTACTTTATAGAGAATAGGCTTAGTTCGGAGGAGTCATGGTGTGTCTTGGGCAATGCTAGTTTTAAGGCCAGTGTGAACACTTGGTGGCATGTTTCCAACATCATGTGAACGTGTCATTCACGTTTCAGTCGATTTTTGGTCTGTTCACTGGCTTTGCTTCAATTTTTTGCTCCCTGTTTCTTTTGTCACTGCTTGTTTTTGCAGGACTCGATGAGCAGGGTTTGTTCAGAGTCAGTGGGAGTGCCAAAGTTGTGGAGAAGATCAAGACCATGTTCGATCGAGGTGGTGACATTGACCTGGAGCAGTTCATGGGAGACCTGTCCGCAGTGGCTGGCGCACTGAAGCAGTTTTTGGTAGGGTGTGTGGCAAACATTAACAAAGAACGGGCTTTTGCTGGCGTTTTCTTCTCTGATTCTGATCATCACGGAGATAAAAGTACACTTCCAAACGTTTTTATAAGGCCAGCTGTGTGCCTGCTTGCTTATTTTCTTTAGTTGTCATCGCAGGCTATAGTGTAAATCACTTTTATTTGGCAAGCGAGACATGATTGTGAACAAATAAGCTAGTAAAATATTAAAACAATCGGGGTGTGACTGGCCTGGTCATCTCCAATGCCCTTCAGAAGTACATGTGGGGAGGGGATTTACCCACTAGTAGCTGTTGTTATAATTTAATCGAGGCTGTCACTGCTATTGTACTGGTTGCAAGTCGTGCTATCATGTTGTGTGTGTAGCTTGAGTGGTGTGCGTAGTCTTGAAGCATCATGAATTCGTGATACGCGTTTTGACCAATGCATGTTGTTTGCATTGTTGTTGTGTTGTGTTCAGCGGGAGTTGCCGGAGCCTCTTATACCAAGCTATCAGCATTCAATGTTCATCCGAGGTAGCAAAAGTAAGGAGCGCAAATGTTTATACATCATAGTAGATAGCATCTTTGGACATGCGTCTTATCAAGTGCATGTGAAACTTGAAATTTCACTGTGAGTTTTCTACCTGTTTAGACTCTCTATGCATAATGTGGTGGTACATTTACTCTAGTCGCTACAGTGATAGGGTTTTGCCACAAAGGAGAGATATATACCAGTTCTGAGCAGCAACACTGTCAATTGCATTGCCTCTTTGAATGCATGTATGTGCGTGTGTGTGTGTGTGTTTGTATGTGTGTGTGTGTGTATATGTGTGTGTGTGTGTGTGTGTGTGTGTGTGTGTGTGTGTGTGTGTGTGTGTGCGTGCGTGCGTGCGTGCGCTATTTATGCTTTTTGTGTTATCTAGAATGCGATGGCTGTGACGACAAGCTCGTTGAGGAACTGAAGTAAGACCTGCAGCTAGCTGTGCTGTGCTGTGCTGTGCTGTGCTGTGCTGTCGCTGTGTTGGTGTTTCTTGTGGACCATAGTGTGCCGCACACCGCTAGCTGTCTAGGCTGTGTGTATGTACATGTACTTTGATGTAGTGAATTGCTTAGTGAATGATGGAGCCATACATCTCTCTGCATTTGTATAAGCTATTAGTCCCCCCCCCCCCCCCCTCCCCCCATCATGCACACCCTTGTGACAGGACACATGTCTATACATGGTAGGGGGCCTGATTGCACAACATAACTACTTACCTAACACGTTTTTAATGGTAACAATCGGCATTGAACACAAGTGTCCTAGATGTGGAGGCATCCTTGGTTGTGAGGTGTTGGCTAGGTAGGTATTTTAAGTTACACTCATCACGATGTTCGCACAGTATTTTAGAATGCTGTGCGGCATTGAACAGTATTTTAGAATGCTGTGCGGCATTGAACAGTATTGTAGAATGCTGTGCGGCATTGAAGCTTTTGTTATACTGCAGTCCTGCTCGATGAAATCCAGTCGCGTCGCTCAAGTTTGCGCCTTGCACCATTTCACAGTCCAGTGTTCGCAGGTCTAGGGCTGCGCAACGCCCGGCATGTGCTTGAGTGACGCGGCGTGTGCTTGAGTGACGCGGCTGTGCTTGAGTGACGCGGCGTGTGCTTGAGTGACGCGGCTGTGCTTGAGTGACGCGGCTGTGCTTGAGTGACGCGGCTGTGCTTGAGTGACGCGGCTGTGCTTGAGTGACGCGGCTGTGCTCGAGTGACGCGGCTGTGCTTGAGTGACGCGGCTGTGCTCGAGTGACGTGGCTGTGCTTGAGTGACGCGGCTGTGCTCGAGTGACGTGGCTGTGCTCGAGTGACGCGGCTGTGCTTGAGTGACGCGGCTGTGCTTGAGTGACGCGGCTGTGCTCGAGTGACGCGGCTGTGCTTGAGTGACGCGGCTGGATTTCACTGAGCAGCATTCAGTGTACTATGATAATGTCACTTCTTTCTCAGTAGGTCTCTATTGTCAGTATTGTTTCTTCTATCGGCCCAGTGCTCTGCGTTAATGTTGTGTGCGCTGTGTTGTTAAAATGTTGTGTGCTCTGTCTAGTTAACATGTTGTGTACCTGTGTTTTCTGTAACACAGGAGTCTCGTCGCCATCCTGCCCTTGACCAATCGTAATATTCTCAAGTACCTCTGCAGTTTCCTGGACACGGTTGCGGAACATGAGCGTATGTTGTGGCTGCTGCGTAGTTTAAGTTATAGATGTGGGACACGGGACGTAACATGAGTATGGAAGCTGCTCACATCATGCTCTGAATGCAATTCTAGACAGGTTGACACAGGTCACAGTGTTCGTTGTACCCAGCTCTACTAGCAGCGGTTGCGTTATATCGTGTCCGAATGCGTGCCACCTTGCTGTATAGAACAGCGCGACAAAGAGTATCCAGAAGCAACACCCTAACAATAACATGTGTAACCTCACCCGCATGGAGGGAATGACAAAAACGTGCAAGTGTGTAGAAATCTAACAGGAGTGCAATGTAGTGCGACAACAATAGACAAACAATGGGCATATATATATATACTCAATCTGCGGACAGCATGCTGTTTCGTTCTTTTTGAACTCATCAGCGCAGCACAGAGAAAATGAGGCCGAACCTGATAGCAATGGAAATCAAAATTTCCAATCAGGCCCGAACGTACCTTGCCAGAGTGCTCAAACTGACAAGTCAGTGAGCTCTGCATAACGCAAACAGCAAAGGCACTACCCCACGCAAGAGTGCTCAACTGCTACAAGAGCAGGAGCGAAATACTCTATATATATAACTAGCGGGCTGTGGACGACCTACCCAACAGCCTACGTGTGAATGTAACAGGCTTCTGTTGGCATGGGCTAGGCTTCCTTTGTGTGAATATGAACAGCTTGTAGCTTCACGCTTCTGCTGTACTTAGTTCATTGTTCTTGTTACTTTTCTTCTTTTTGCCTGTACATGTATTCCACCTGACAAGAAGGCATGGAAGCATACTGGTAGAAAAACTTTCGAAACATATTGCTTGTGAGGTGCCTGATGTTTGTTCATTTCCTAACTACTGTATACTGTTTTGATGTCTTGTGACTTTTTTTGTAGATAACAACAAGATGAATGCGAAAGGCCTTGGAATAGTCTTTGGTCCCAATGTGTTCAGGTAAGCCACGTGCAGGACCAGATCTATTCTCTTAAAAAAAGTTTTGCTTGAATTCCGGGATTGGTTACGTGCCCAACGTTAATGAGATACTGTGACCGGTGTGACTGGAAGTCGAGCATGCTGTTCTCACTGATAGCATTGCGGCTTGTCCGCATCCTAATCTGCACCTCCCTGTTGTTCTTGGCGGCGGCTGCCCACAGATGTACCATGGAGGGCATGGAGGGCCTGCAAGAGCAAACCTGCACGAACGTGATCGTGGAGAAGTTTGTGTCTCGCTACGAGGAGATCTTTGGGGTAAGTGCTGTTGTAACGCTAGCAGGCCAGGGCCAGCACCTTCCGCTGGCACACACGGTACAGGACTTGCAACTGGGCGAGACCTGAGAGCCGATCTTGGCCTGTTGTCGGCCTTATATACACTTTGAACTTTGTAAGCATTGCAATGAAACCCTGGCAACAACAGGCTAAAGCTGTGTAACGCCGGGAGCTAACCGATGTCTATACATGAAAATCAGAGATGCCCCCCCCCCCCCCCCTCCCAGTGGCTCACTCAGGGGACAAGCATCCGACTTGCTTTATTAGATATTGAGGTTTCAATGCTCCTGCTCGGAAGCCATGGCATGGTGTTGTACCTGATGAACATTTTGCCCGCGTAGCCAAAGACGTTATAATGATGCATGGTCCCACCAGCACAACTTGCAGCTAAGCACACTATTGGAGGACAGAAAATCCGCTTTTCAAGTGGCTAAGACAACTCATCTGAAATCAGAATTATTGCATTATAACAGAAGTACTCCTCTAGCCCTTTGAGAGCGGATGACATGTGTCCACGCCATGCAACCCCTACCCGATTCTCTGATGATGTGTATACACACACTAGGGGTGTGTACGTGTATGCGAGTGCGCGTGCGCTCTCTTTCCCGTTTGCACTCTTGCTGAGCGTTTATGTGTTTGGGTTATTGTTCCAACCTTCTGTCCTTCCCAGGAGCCTCCCTCAGCGTCTGCCTATCATAAGTATGTAGCTGCATTTGCACTGTTTGCTTTCTGCTTGTCTTTGATGAGTATGTGGTGGAACACCCCATTCGTTCTTGTAGAAAAAGACATCCAGAACACTAACATTAGTTGCTATGTCTCTTAGTTAAGGTACTGTCTGGGGTTTCTGGGTCCAATAATTATTGTTCTTTTTCAAACTTTTGATTTGAAAACAAAAAATATAAAATTGTTGGTAACTTACCTTGGATGGTCACTTTTAAAAGTCACGGGACTTGCATGATTTAAATACTTTGTTACGAGAATGCGTTTAAATTATTTCGAGTATTGTAGTTTCCTAGGAGGCAAAACGTCCTTTAAACGTCTTGACGTTTCTGTGTTTGCTGAACATGTTTTGTGCAGATCAGAGGTCAATTCTCCAATGTCACCAGTGGGAGGTGTACTACGCGTGAAACCGCAAGTGGTAAGTCACAGTTTGGCTAGAAAGTAGAAATCGCAGCAGCGTCCCTTGAGGCCTGCTTCTGCACGACAATCTGTGCAGTGCTGCAGCAAACGTAGACCTTTTAAAGTCGCCACAGGCCAGGAAAGGCTGCACTACATGGTGGATACGGAATATCCAGGGACTGGTCCAGTGCATAAGCTAGCCTATCTTTGAAGCTGGAGAGCATCTGTAACGGGCAATGCGAAAGAAAACGAATTACTCCTGATCCCTGAATAGTGCCGGGGCATGGATGGCCACACCGTTCAGTCCCTTGATACAGGTATTCACTGCAGCCGAAGCAGTAGGGTAACTGTAGGATACTAATTTTCCATTTGCTTACCAATGATGTGTATGTCTGTAAGAGTGTAGTGTGTAGTGTGTAGTGTGTAGTGTGTAGTGTGTAGTGTGTAGTGTGTTGGTTTAGTTGAGCTATCTTCATGTGCGGACAGGTCCCATGGAAGGTGAGATCCGACGACTGACTGATATGTGTAGCACAATTGCACACTTGCCCACTTTCTCTCGTGATAAGTGCTGGTCTGTTGGTTTCCCCCTGTGTACTTACCCGGCAGCATGCTTCTTCGCCTCCGAACAGGCCCAAGCCTTATCGCCAGTACAAGGCCGACAAACAGGAGGTGTGTGTGTGTGTGTGTGCAGGATTACTGCTAAGTTATCCCAGGCTCTGTGCGTATGTGTGCACACGTGTGCATATGTGCCCACGTGTGCATATGTGCGGTGCGTGTGTGTATACTCCTGTAATTTTGCTTGCTGACTTTAGGAGGATTTTTTGGTTCCGATCATGATTTATTTGCATTGTGCAATATGGCTTGTTGCTGCTGCTGCTGCTGTGCACACATGCATGCCATCATGACTAATGGCATTAGCTAGTGTCATCTTCTTCTGGCACTGTCCATGCTGGGCAAAGCTACTACTGTATGTTGGTCGTGATTAGAATAACTCTGCGTGTCGGTTTTTGCTGATATCTGGCTGCCCGTCGTCCTGTTTACGTGGTTTGTGTGTGTGTGTGTGTGTGTGTGTATGTGTGCATGGTGTGTATGTGTTTTTTTCTTGCTCATTCTGCTGTCTTCAGGCCAGCAGCAGCCCCAAGCATGGTCGCCACTCCAGTGACGGAGCCCTGGAAAGGGACGACGACAGCTCGGACGTGAACCACCCGATGTCACCCAAGCGCAGCTTGTCCTTAGAGCAGGCTGACGATGGGCGGCCAAGGAGGATGAACCGGTGGGTGTCTGGAGGCGGCAATGGCTCTTCACCGCATCAGCATCATGGACGACATGTGTCTGCACCGCGTTCACCTGGTGTCATACGCCGTGTCTATCTCGACAAATCACTTGAAAGGTATGGATAATATCTGTATATCCTTACCCTAACTGTAGCCTACCCTTAGCCCCCCCCCCCCCCCCCCCTCCACCCTAACCATATCCCGGGATATGGTTAGGGTGGAGGGGGGGGGGGGGGGGCTAAGGGTAGGCTACAAAACTCATCGCGGGTTACAGATTTCCGCTTGTCACGCAGGTGAGCATTTGTGCACTTCACTATCTCATCCATTTCCTCGTGCGGAAAGAACAGCATCCAGGCGTCCAATTCATTCATTGTGTGCAAATTTTGAGTTTTACAAGGTGATAGGTCTCCTCTACCTGATGACGCTGTGTCCAGTACGTTGCCAACGGCGTGACCACTGGAGTGTGACCGAGGGTCTCCTTCCAGCACCAGCCTTCGGACGTCGATACGGCATGGGAGCAAATCGCTTTGAGGAAATTCTTGCTGCCATGCACTTTCGTCCACCAGTCAGCGGAGACACCAGGCGCGGCTGGAAAATTGTGAGCCCCCTCATCGACATGTGCAATTTGAAGTGGCAGACTTCAATCCGGCCCGGCCACAAATTGACGGTGGACGAGTCAATGTTTGCTTGGTACGGTCGTGGTGGTGACATTGGCGGGATGCCCACAGTCATCAAAATCAAGCGGAAGCCGAAAGGTGTAGGCTGCGAAATTAAGTCCGTTGCTGATGCGTCCACCAACATTATGCTTGCGATGGAGATCAACGAGGGCAAAGACACCATGGCTACCAAGAAGTGGCAGAAAGAGTTCGGTGCTGGAACTGCCACAACTTTGCGACTGACGGATACATGGCATGGCTCGGGAAGAATCGTGTGCGGCGATTCCTGGTTTGCATCCATCAAGACAGCAGTCGCTCTTATGAAGCATGGGCTCTTCTTTGCGGGTGTTGTCAAGACGGCGCACACAGCCTTCCCGTTGAAGCTCCTGTCCGCGATGTGTCCTTCTCCGAAAGGCCGCTTCGTGTCCGCAACCGCGCAGAGGGACGGCATAGCACTGAATGCCGTGGCATGGCGCGACAGGAAGGTGCATTCGTTTGTCAGCACGTGCGGGACGACTCTTGCCGGAGATCCTGCCAAGAAAAAGCGGTATGATGACAACTTGAAGCTGTACTTCAAGACAGTTGATCGACCGAAGTTGGTGGCAATGTACCACGATGGCGCGCCTTCCATTGATGTGCACAACCACCTTCGGCAGGATGGCTTGGCTCTGGAGCAAGTGTGGCGCACGGACACCTGGCACCATCGTGTGTATGCCTCAGTGTTTGGCATCATGGAGACAAATGCTTACCTTGCATTTTCCCATTTCTGCTGTGGCCTCGACAAGATCACCCACTCGGCATTCACCACTCGTCTTGCGGAGCAACTGATCCGCTACAACGCCCCGCAGCAGCCGCAAAGTCAAACAGGTGCTGCGGAACCTGAAGCAGATCAGCCTGACGGCACCGAGCATCGGTTGGTATCCCTGTCTGAGGTCAGCGGCAAGCCACACACACAGCGTAAATGTGTTGTGTGCAGGCATGTCCGCGACTCGGGCAGGAAGGCGAGCTACTATTGCTCCACGTGTGGGCCGAATGCCGTGATGTGCTCTCCGGCCACGGGACGCACGTGCTTTCAATACCACATCGTCCATGGCCTGCCACACTGAGTGAACGTGTGTTCAGCCTGCTATGCTCATGCTTGCATCTATATTATTTATTTTTCATTATAACTCCTTTTTCCTACTGTTGCCAAGGGCGTTCTACTGTTGCCACGGGACGTACGTGCTTTCAATACCACATCGTCCATGGCCTGCCACACTGAGTGAACGTGTGTTCAGCCTGCTATGCTCATGCTTGCATCTATATTATTTATTTTTCATTATAACTCCTTTTTTCTACTGTTGCCAAGGGCGTTGCCATGGTACCCGGCAATTCAACATTCGACACGGTCGTTATAATGCATTGCTTACATCAGTCAGCCTGCTATGCTCATCTTACATTATTTATTGTTCAATATATCTTCTTTTGTTCTGCCGCTTCCATGGGCGTTGCCATGGTAGCCTGCGGTAGTACTCCTCCAACCGCGTCCAAATTTTCAGAACTTCACCGAATGGCTCTATGTAGTGTGTGGTTTCAATTTTATGGAAGACACTGGTATATAGCCAGTGTGGCATGTCTGTGTATGATGGTCCTACCGGTAGGTCCTACCGGTAGGACCAGGGTCTATGCAAGCTATCACTAACCTTAGCCTTAGCCCATACCTACCCTTAGCCCCCCCCCCCCGCCATATCCCTCACCTTAGCCTTAGCCCATACCCTAACCGTAGGTAGCCCGTGCCCAAACCTAAGCACTTACCCTAACCTACATGTAAGCCCTGACCTTAAACTTTACCTCTATCAGTCTAATATTAGCCCTTACTATCAAACCTTAGCCCTAGCCCTGGGCATAACTATAGTTCTGACCTTAGCCCATAGCCTATCCCTAACTTTAGCCCTAACCCTGGCCTGCATTGTAAGCCCCAACTTGCCCTCACCGAAGCCCTGGCTCGGCCTGGCCTAGCCCGTACCCAAACCTACGCCCTTGTCCAAACCTAAGCCCTTACCCAAACCTTAGCCCTATCTTGCCCTAACCCACCATGGTACCATATCGTGTTGCGACGGTTTGAGTGTATGCATCTCCGTCTTGTTTTCCTAACTGAACTCTTGTGCAGGGACAAGACGGACTCGGCAAATGGTGATGGAGCGTTACTTACTGTGCCAAATGGAATTGGTTTGAGGTATGAGGCAGTGTCAGTGTCAGTGTCGCTGAGAAAGTGTCTGAGTGTGGTGTTCGTTGTCCTCAGTGTTGCTGTCTGTGGGTAATGAGCACATTGTGATACGCTAGGATGTAGCTGTTACACAACTTGCATATGATGATGGCCAGTGTTCACGGGTCTAGGGCTGCACAGGACCCGGTGCGCACCCGTTGTTTACGAGAGGGGCGGTTCAGATACAGTGTAGCTAAAAGTGTGATAACCCCTCGTTCACCGGTGGTGTTCACTCTGTAGCCAGCAGTAGACTGGCTATAAGTGTTATGAAACTAAGCAGGAATGTCATGTAGATGTATTTCATGTACATGTGCAGGTGATGATTGTATGTCTGTTTGCTGCTGTTCATTGACACACTGCTGGATTGTCTTGTTCCCTATGCAGTGCCTTGGACAATGATGGGCGTGCAGATTCACCATGGTCCCCGAGTGGAAGGTGTGTGCTCCCTTGCTTGCAGCTTTTATTGCAGTGCTCGGTGTTTGTAACGGCTGTTCGGGGACGTAGTGGTTCAATGCATGCTCGGGAATCAGAATTTCCACAAAATTGGTTGCAAAACAGCGCTTTACTTTTGTTGTCCAATACAAGGCATGTCGTGTCCGAATAGTCAGGAACCACATAGAATGCACCCCGGGTTATGCCGCTGTTGTTTGGCGCATTGTCGGTACACCTGGGCACTCTTCCGCTGTTGTTTTCGCCTGTTTGTACCTCCACAGATTGCCAAGTTCATATCATAATAATTATATGTGTGCCAGCGCTGGTGATGATGAGTCGTACCCTATTGAGCTTTAGTCATGTGATGTGCAGTGAGCTGTACTCAATATAGAGTGCAGATTCTATGTCAGTAACATGTATTGCATTACTTTGTTGTTTCGGCTGCTGCTACTGCTGCTGCTGCTGCTGAGCTGTTGTGAACACTTTGCAAGCCCGCATCGTTTTGTCTGTGTGCCTGTATGTCTGTCACTGTTTTGCATGCAGTGTCGTGACAACACCAGTGCCGGACTCAGCTGTCACTCCCACTAGCAATGCGTAAGTGTTGTGTGCAGTGTGCAGTGCTTTCTCTCTTGACTTTCTCCTTCTAGCATAAAGTATTACTGACCTGCAGTGTGTTACCTGCACACACTAGCTACTAAATACTATGTGTAGTAGTAGTAGTAGTCTTGCACAGCTGGGGCAGTCACACGAATCAGAGTCGAATCCTAACCGGCATTTATATGCGTCTGCTACAATGTGATCTCTGTGCTTTGTCTGTGCTTTGTCTGTGCAGGCTGATCGATGAGGTGATTGAGAATACGATCCGGGAAAAGCTGCTGGGAATGTCTATCGGTGACGACGGCGACGAGAGTGCAATCGGCAGCCTTGGCAGCGGCAGCATTCATCACTTCTCCGGTGAGGACATGGCTGAGATCATGGCACCGGGCAGTCGCTATGGCGATGGTAGCCAGGACACGTCCACCGGGTCATCCAGACTGTTTGTGCCTCGCAAACACTCCGCTGCGGATGGTTCGCCGGATAGTAACAGTGAAGAGGACGTGAGTGATTGCTTGTGTGTTTAATTAAAACTGGGTAGTGGGCAAGATCAGACAGTCTGCTGGTGTTCAAGAAGAATCTTGAAGGGCGGGTGCTACTGGAATATAATATCTGACTTTGGTCCCCTTCTCCTCTTTCCTCTTAACAGTTAGCTTCATTTGTGAGTGTGATAGCTGCTGTTCTGTTAAATATTACTTCCATGCAACACTCAAAACACAACGTTATTTTCCTACTGTGTGCGTGCCATCGCGTGTGTGCAGGATGTTGCACTGCGGGGCAACCATCGGCCAGGCAGAGCAACCATAGCAGAGATTACCTCGGCAATTCCCACCATCCAAACCGAGGACGTGAGCAGGCATGATGCCGCACAGCCGGTGGATAGGTGAGATCATGCAAAGCTTGCTTCAATGTTTTATGCCATGACAAGATCATACAAATACATTGTTTATCGCTACAAGTCATCCTTGTACGGTCCTGTAACAATGCATTGCCGAAAAACCAGTCAGCCGAGTAGCCCCACCCGGGTGCATTATGAGTTGGAGGGACGAGTGTGCTTTTGAATATTACTTCTTGGGAAAAGAGTCTGCCAATCTCACGCGGCTGTCGCTCGCGATGCATTTATAAATACGGCGGCATTTGACCGCGTTCACAGTACGGATTTTGAAACACTCGCTGAAAGTTGTAAACACAGGAATGAATTTATCTTGTATCGCATCGCAGTTTGCGACGCAAAATTGATCTACTGCTACTCAAAAGTCACCGTGACTCGCAGAAAATTGCGATACATACAGACTATCCATGCCTAGCCTGCGCTGTCAAGTAACATGCATACAGTGCAGTGTATGTGGTGCAGGTACTCGAGTCTCAATCTGGGTGCCCATGTATGCTTCAGCTATTTTTTCTGCAAATGGGCTTTCAGGCATCACTCTCAAGAAGGATAATGTGATAAACATCCAACCTTTAAAGAAAAATGCTTATCAAAATCAAAGACTGCTACACAATTGTGATTTTGTACAGCAGAAACTGTTATGCAAAAATATGACAGTAAATTCATCCCTGAAACATGTTCCGTTTCTGTAATTTCTATGCCGCCGAAACCGAAGTAAAACGCGGTACAGCCGCCTTGGCCGCGCTGCGTGGAATGAAAAAATTGAAATGAATCTTGCAAAGAGCCCAGCTGATTTTATTGAAGAATATTTCGAGAGAGAAAGAACATGTCGACAGTTGACGGCAAGAACTACATCTAGAGAGGGAGAGAGAGAACGATAGTTGTTGACGAGCGTTTCTATCTTTACCAGCTATAACTATATTCTCCCCGCAGTTGATGTTTGCCTGGACAAAACAATGAAGAAAGTGGAGAAGAAGCAAATCTCAAACTATTACTTCCTCCGCGTCATTAAAATTGTTGCTTTGCACATTGCAATGTTTGTGACTTGTTCGTCTTAGTCAGACTGTCGGAATCGCTGTTTTCTGTGTTCGAACATTGGTGCGACCCTTCCTGCGCAATGTCTGCTTGTTACTGAAGCCGTGGTGGCCTCGGACTTTGTCGGAGCTCTCTTCCGCACCAAACAAATTCATCGGGCTCTGCACTATTCCGCCCCAGGGCCCGTATTGTTTTTCTGGAGTTCGTGCCGTCCCACATCGTTCGTGTGGGCATTTATCAAGACTGAAAGCTCGGGTATAAGAATCCTGGTATCTCTCCTGAATTCGAAATGCTGAAGTTGACGATGGCAAGAAGAATGTGTTCTCAAATTCCTAAAATGTGCTACGTGTGGCGCATGTTGCTGCGAAGGTAGGAGGTCTGAAAACACCAACAAAATCAGCGAAACGCTTGCCAAGAAAGAAGGTGCGGAACTGCTCACCCTATCCCGCTGGAAGGTCGTTACAGTGTACTTGAAAAATGCTAGTTTGGCGTCATCGCCTGCCACGTGGAGGCATGAATCGCTTGAAAACGAAATTTCTTGACCTGAATTTGAATGCGCGTCTTGTTCAGCGTATTGTTGAGTGCTGAAGGGTCTGCCTCAAACTCTGATGAAGACGTCGACCTTAGCTGCAAGTGTAGCGAAGCGGGAGGCCACAAACTAAAGCTTGGTCCGTCGACAATGCTCTGCCTCTAGCTGATTTCTTTGCCCTTCGAGTGGACAAAATAAATTTGAAAAATCGCTCTGGGAAGCGACAATTTTAATGACGCGGAGGAAGTACTTACCTGGCTATGACTGACTTGTAGCTCTTCTCCTCTTTGATGCTGGACGCAAGGCTTCATGCTGTGGCAGCGTTGACACAAGATGCTGCATGCCGCGGTCACAGCCTTCAACCGATCCAGCTTGTTCGGCATGGAGGAGTAGTTGCGTTGGAGCGTGTTGAATTTGGCATGTATGCTCTTGCTACCTTGCTCAGCCAACATCCCCAGTCCGACACAGAGACGCTTGATGGAGGAAACTACGTGAGACTCAAGGAGGTACAGTTTTGGAGTTATGTTCCCAAGCTGTCTACTGACGACGTGCTCGCGACACAGCTTCATGTTCGACTGCAATGAGGTGATTTCTTCATCCGTCATGTAATTGCAGTGGCTGAAGAGAGCTGTGCATTCGGAGTATGTCGACAGCAGGTCTTTGTATCGGTCCACGATGACCTTTGTGTCATCAGTAAGTGATGGGCACCTGCTACCGATGATGGACATGGGTGCGGAAACAAGAGCTTGTATCACTGCTGGTTGAAGGGCCCTGTGTACGTGATTTCCGTTGAACGCGCCACCGTGGTAGGCCTGTCTCTGTGTGTTATTCTGAGAAAAAATCCAAGGCAGGAGCAATGCGTGAAGGAAGAAACATTACTGGTTTTAGACTATATCGGTCAGAATTTCCTCATCCGAATCATCAATGTTTAATTCTATCAGGTCTGGTTGAGTCACAGAGACATCAGCAGGTGGCGATCCACTTCAGTGTCGGGTTGGTAGACAGATCCTCGGGAGGTGGTGATGCCGGCGTAGGGACGGGAGACTGATCCTCCGGCGGTGGTGATTTCCGCTTTGCTGGCGGGGATGGCGAACGTTCCTCAGCAAATTCCGGGGATGGTGATAATCGGTGAGCCGGGATTGTGCGAGCGGCGCAGCGGGCTTGTAACCCTCCCAGGCTCGATACTGGCAGAACAGGGACCACTGAAATCCTTCCGCTTCTTGAGGCCTATCGCTCCTGCCATCTCGTCTCTCTGCTGTGTTTGCGATGTGTGTGCACCAAGCCGGAGTAGATTAGCAAAGCCAGGAAATTCTCAATTTCCTGGAGTGATTTTGGTGCCCTCTGCCCATCTGTGGCATAGTAGGGCCTGTTCACAATGTGCTGCTCAGCATACAGGTTCGTGAACTCAACAAACTTTCCTACAAATTCCAGCGGAAATAAAAACAGTCAATCAATTTCTTTGGTTGGATTGAAATTTTGAGGAAGATGATTTCCAACAGGCCGAGCAGGCTGATGGGAGAACTTCGGAACAGCATGGTTGTCCGGATCATCCAGAGTTCTTGCACCTGCAGAAGGGACAGCGGTACCTCCTCGACCTCTTCATCCGTGTGCGCCACGGTCTCGTGCAGCGGCACCACGTCCGCGCGCGCGCGCGCGCGCGCCACGTCCACGTGCGCTTGCTCCGTCTCCACGTCCACGTCCGCGTGCGCTTGGTCCGTCACGTCCTCGACCTCTCACTGCAGCTCGTCCGGGACCTCTCTGGCTGCCTCTGGTTGGTCCTGGGCCTTCGTCCTCATCCTCTGACGACTGTTCATCATCACCAATGCCTTCGGCGGCAGAGCTGTTTTCAGCCGATCAATCTCAAATATATCATCACTGTCAGCATTGCCACTAGTGATGTTCAAATCGTCATCTAGGTCAAGGTCCAGTTCCTCCTCCACCTCAGACGACAACAACTCATCCTCGCTCTCAACCTACGAAATCATCGCTTGACTCGTTGTCGGTCGCCAGGACCAAGGCGAGAGCATCACTGACATCCATTCCGACAAACTTTCACCTCCGTCAAAAACAGCTGACACACGATTTGAGTGAAGCGCACATGGAGCGTAGTTCGCGTGCTCAAGGAATTTTGGCTCAACAATGTATATGTCGACACATAGATTTCGATGTCCCGGGCTTCCCCTAGTCTACGCCTAGCAGGACAAAAAAACCCGAGTCGATTCGGCCGGGAATCGGCTGAGAACAGTCGCTTTTTCAATACTCTGTCGAACCGATAGACGTGTGTTGGTTTAAGTATGCGTGGGCAGCAAAGGGTTAAAACGTGATGACGACTGTAGTTCTGTCTTTGTAATCCTGAGAGCCTGTGCTCCTTGCATGCTTTCTTTTTTCGCAGTTTCTCTCCTTCTCGGCGATCAGGTAGCGTGGAAACAACACTGAGCGTGGGCAGGGAGGCCCAGGCCACTAGGGGCATGCGTAGCACGGATCAGAACGGACGCTCAATCGCAGAAGAAGGGACGAATATGACTGGTGATGCATCCGACACTGGGCTGGTAAGTGAAATGCACCATATAAATAGCTAGTTTTTGTTTCTGACAGTTTTGGAAAAATGGTAGATGTAGTCTTACCGATGTCCTTCCCGTCTTCTTTACACATTTTCCTTCTGATAGACTAGTGCTGTACAAGTAGACACATTTTCATTTGGAAATTAAAAAAATTCCCTCATCTCATTCGGCATCCCGGGCGAACGATAAGTAGGTCGTAGCGAGTACAGCTGTCACAACAAAAAAATTGTTCAACGAGAGATCAAACACCATATTAAAGCTGAACACATTGTCTTCTTGCATGGTATGATGCTCAGGATGGAAGCCAGAAAAAGAAGGAGCGCCCAGCAGTTCCACAAAGGCCCAAGGGCAGGAAGTAAGTACCCACTGGACTTGTATTTATGTGTGTATGTCTGTGTCTCTGTCCTGTATTTGTTGTGTGTGTCTGTGCCCTGTATTTGTTGTGTGTGTGTGTGTGTCCTGTATTTGTTGTTTGTGTCTGTCCTGTATTTGTTGTGTGTGTGCCCTGTATTTGTTGCGGGGGTAGACGTTAGTCCGTTTCTGATTAGCAGAGTAGTAACACCTGCATTATGTGTCGTTGTTACTTGCACTTCACGAAGAGTTGTGGTGCGGTCTATGACAATGTGATTGCTAACTTTCTTCCTTCTTGGCGTTAGCAAACGCACGCTAGTGGTCCGAATACTGTTGTTGGATGGCTGATATCCGTGTTGCTCAGTTGGACCCAGTGGTCTTCTGAT